TCAGGATACAGAACAGAGAATTCTGCTGAACATCAAGCAAGTTGAAAGTCATAATTATTATTCATTCCCAGTCTGAGTCTCAAACCTAAATGAGCATGAATTTTAAGAAAAAGAATCCTGCATTACTTAAGAAACATAACACAATGAGGCTGGAAAGATAGTACAGTGGGCAGGGCACTAGCCTCTCACGTGGCCAACCTGGGTTGAATCCCTGGCAGTCCATATAGTCCCCCAAGAATTGCCAGGAGTGATCCTTGAGTCCAGAGGCGGAAACAAGTCCTCAGCACTACCAGGTGTGGCTCCAAAACAAAACCAATTTTAAAAAGAGAAGAAAAGGATATGTAACAAAAAACTTCACCTCTCAGTCTTATTAGGTGGCATGTATTCATGGGACTTGGGTATGGCCTTTTATTTGTATAGCGATTTCTAAAAAACACCAAATTATACTTAGGGTAATATGCATTCAAACAAGAAAGCCTCTAAACAAAGTTAAAGGGAAACCTCTCCATGTGCTTTTCTTACCATCAAAGTAAGAAATGTTTCAAGTACTTCAATAGTCCATCCAAGTCTAGCCTTTATGTCTTCCCTGCACAGAGGAGGCATTTCCTAATGTGATGAAATGGTATTCATTACAGGGTGATCAGAGAGGTAAGTTGACAGAGGCTAGGAAAATAAAGAGATCTTATTAACAGAGCCTGTTGAGGCTGAGAGGAATTTCGGAGGGTGCCAAGAGAAAGGTTTCAAGTAGTTAGATGGATGAAAAAGCATGACATCAACTCCATAAAGAGGGTGAATGTATGAATTAGACAAAGAAGCTTGCTTTCTACTACAATTAAGTGCTTACTATTACGAGAGCTAAAAACTCTTCAAAATGAATAAATGGGTTAAACAGTATGGGGATTACCTTTTAAGTAGAGCATTCTAACTATGCTTCAGATCATGGGAATTCTACAAAATCACAAAGGAGAGAATTAGCTGAACAAAATAGTTTAATTTAATGGGGAATTTATTTCAAAAAAAGGAGCTAAGGAAAATTTCTGGAGTTAAGTAATGACATTGAGAAATTGGAGACGTTTATGTAAAAGAAATGACCAAGGATAAAGTAATAAGAATTTTCAGAAAGACCTAGAAAAAATGAAGATAGAGACCTGAGGCACTTTAGAAAAAGGAACAAAGAAAAATGTAAGCTCTCTCTCTATAGGAAATAATTAGAATAGTAGAATTTGACCTAAATTAAAGGAAAATATTACACATGGCTATGAGTATAAGCAGAGAAACACACACACACATACTCCTTCCTACTTTAGAAATTCCCCCAAAGACTAAGATCAAAATGTTACTTCTGTTCCTTTTCTAGTCTAATTAAAACATGAAATGTTGCCTATTACCTGCTATCAGTTTATGCATATTATGGGTTAAATAGAAAAATTAATATTAATTGAGAGTGTCACTTCACTGCAACATTTATTTTACTAAGTTAGAAGAATGGTGGTTGTTAAAACAAGGCATAGCTCCAAATTATATACTGTACCATATATGCTCATCTGCGGGGAAAAGCCAAAGTCTTAACCAGTGTTCCATAAAAAGATGCTCTTATAAACTCTGAAATCTAAGCCCTAATTCAGAAATTAAATTATGCAAGACTTTAAAACTATAAAAGGATAAAAATTATTTTAAAAAATGAAACTTTCTAATTATAAATTTCTTACAAAACCTCCATTCTGTTTTTAATTCTTAACTGACCTGAATTACATTTTTTAAAAACAAAAAGCCCAGAGTGGCTGGAGTCACTTTAATTTAAATTTCATAAGAAAAAAGGATCACCATGCACATTCCCTGACCAGATTGTGTGTGGCCTTATTTATTCGAAATGTTTGATTCCATATGGATTTCTTCTCTTTTATTTATGACTTCCAGAAAGGATGCTTTCTAATATGTTAGCAATCAATTTGAAATCTGGGTCCTGAGAGCACAGAATCTCAGGTCTGCCACCTGCCACCTGCAACATTTTCTAGAAGGACCAGGAAAGGCAAAGTGCCAATTTCTGTGTGGAGCATGAACCAAGCGTGAGCCACAAGTGGGTGGTCCACTAAGGAAGGGTTAAAGTTCACAGAATAATTTGGAAATTATTCTCGGCTTGGATTGCGCTGATGAAACCTGAGAATACATCCTTTAATTAGAATACAATTTCCAAAGCAGCCACTCCCTTGACTTTCCAGAGCTCAGTTATTCTCAGAAAAGTAAAAAACAGCTACATCACAGTGACAGCTAACAGTCCTCTAAAAATCATGCCTCAAATGTCCAACAAAGAAGTCAGGATGCATCCGGGAAAAGAGTTGCTAGAAGCTGCCAGCCCTCTAGCCACTGTCAAGAGCAGAGAGAGAAAACGGCGCCACATTAGACAGACTCATGCTCCTCAACTTCTTGTGTATGTAACTGAAAAGGTCCATGGAAGCTTGGAAAAAGAGTGGGATGTTCGTTTGAAAAGGTTCCAACACCCCCGCTGAATTCATTTTTCTGATGCTCCTTCCGTTCAGCCAACCTCACGCTATAGTCGGAACTCTAAAACCAATCCCCACGACAGCCAACTGTTCGGTTGTTCCACGGTGCTCAGGGAGCCACACAGGACTCTTGGAACAGGAGCCAGCCTGGTTGTGACTCACCACAGATGTTCCCCTCCTCCTCTCCAAGCAGCTGGGAGCCACAACCTTCTTTCCAAGGGCTATTGTTATTGCAAAGATTTGCTGGGCCCCAGAATGTGCCAGATACCAGAGCAAGAGAAAAACACAGTTCCCAAACCATGGAACTGAGAGACAGTAAATTACGTGGAGATGGGAACAACTTTATGGCAAAGGGAGAAAAGAGAAAGCGGGCAGGTCTAGTTCAGGGAAAAAGGAGCTGAGGGGCAGAAGCTCTCTTAGTATCAGACTTTTAATGCTATCCAGAGTTGAGGTGGATTTCAGAGCTGACCAAAAAAAAAAATGTTCCATTTTGGCAAATCCAGATAATCCTATTTTTCTGCACTTTCCCCAAAGCAGCATTTGTTTAGTAAAATGTGAGCAGGAAAAATAATCAAAATATAGTTTCCAAAATTTGAAGAGTCTTATGGAACTCACAATATTTGGAGAATTTTTGCCAACTAATATTTCAGTCACAGTGACATAACTGTCTCTGCCCAATTTCTTTTGTTGATCTCTTTATCTGTCTGTTTTGCCAGCAGTCCACTCAGATGGGGTCACAAACCTCTCTATCTCTGCATTCTGTGAGTGCTTATTAGTTGGCAATGTGGCAGTCTTTTCCAAGCCCCTCAGTGTCCCGTGGCACAGGCTGCATCATTATCTCAATTAAGAAACTATTTCATGCAATTTACAATACCTTTTGATCACTGTCCATCACTGTCCATTTAACAAGTAACAGGAGTTAGAGAGAGTAGTTCATTTTACATCCATTCCTTTTAATGGTATGAATTCTGGGACTAAAATGAGTCGAACCAAATCACATAAAAAAAAATCTTTCTTAATATTTTAAAATGACCCTCCATATCCTTATGCAATAGTACTTGTATTTTGTTTTTTTTTGTTCTGAGTTCTCATTCATGTTTTCCTAGCGTGGGCCTGAGGAAGGAAGATTAAGAAAATAAATCAATTAAATGATACTTTTGATTCTGGGGTTATGAAAAATATAAAAAAAAAACTATATTCTCCAAATTATGGTCTCAAATTTGCCTTCTAAGACCTCTTCGTGTCCTAAGTTTCCAGTTGTTAAGAATTCATAATAAAATAAGCTAGTATCTCACAAGACCACAGGTTTCATAACAGCAGAGTCAATATTTAGATAAATACAACCAATATATGCCTGAAGGATAAATGTTTACTTGAAATCATGTTTATTTGATTCTTTGGAAGAATTTATATAAATCTTGCTTGCTTATTTCTGAGTCCCATTTCCTTCCTATCCCCTACTCCAAGACAAAAGTGTAAAAAAAACATAATGGCACTAAAATTAAACTAGAACACACTTTTAGAACTTTTGTTTAAAATTTCCTTCAGTGGTGTTTTTACGGTTATTGTTTGTTTTCTACTGTTTTAGGTTATTTTTGTTTTCCAGTTAAGGATAGATACTATCAATAAGAAAGGATAATGTCCAAAGTTTCAAAGCAAGTGTAAGATGTAATACAAGTAAAAGATCTAGCCTATTAAAAGTTATTGAACTGAATATTCAAATTTGAAGAACACAATTGTTTTCCAGAAAGAAATTTTCAGTTCATCCTGAAAACTGCAAATGTAACTTGCATATCACAGATGAGAATTTAAAAAAACTGATTACTATGCACCTCAAGGTTTGGCACAATGAGGATATTTATACTCACATATTAACTACAGAGAACAATCCTCTACCTGGCAAATCCACCTGGAACCAAAAAAGGGAATTTAGGGATCCGCAAATAAATTCTGGATTAAAGACAGAAACTAACTTATGATGAGATTTCTAAATATTACTAGAATTGCAGAGTACTTCTAGTCCTCAGAGTTGGAATTTAGGAAGAAAAGGAAGAAGAAAAGAAGAAATCAGATAATGATTGAGATGCTAGTAGTAAAAATGAAGCTTGGAATCATTTGATTATAAGAACGGTCATCACTACAGCATCATCAAAGTAGATCATTAAAGAACAACTTCAGTTCTGCCTTGCTCTTGTCTTCTTGTGATCACTGTCCATGCAGATGTTTAGAGCTGCTTTACTCTCACTTAGCTGATGTTCAATAAAAGAAATAACAATTTGTCTAAATCTCTCTGAAGTCTAAATTTCACCTCTTCTTTCTATCTGAAGAAGAAATGAATGTCAACAGTTATTCACATCCTAATAGTTCTTAAGTACTGTATTTTAAAATGCACATGGAAACACTCTCAGATAAACTGTTGATAGATATAGAGGATTTAACTGAGAGCATTTTCTCTGAGACATATCTCCAAATAATCTAAATTTCTCTAAAAATACTTACTTTGGATGAGTTCATCATCTGAACAATTACCCCAGATACACTGATCTTGTATCTCTCCACGTGCGAAGCAGTTACTGGGAGCCTGAGTTCCATCTCTCTCAGAAACTTCTTTATCACATTTTTCTAAATAAAAAAAATGCACATTATTATTAATAAATGCTGCACAGATTTTTTATATTTTTTATTTTATTTTTTTCCTAAATGTCTTTAAATCTGTCAAAATTTAAGGAAATGGGAGTGAGAGCCATATCGCTACTGATCATTGTATATGCTATTCACTCAGCAACAGCGTTACTGAGCATCTGTACCAAGGTTCAAAATAAAACAAGTGTAGAGTAAAAATAATATGGGGGCCCAAGAGATAGTACAGGGAGTTAGGTGCTTGTCTTGGACAAAACTAATAATGGTGCATATGGTTCTCTGAGCATCGCCAAGAGTAACTCCTGATCATACAGCCAGGAATAATATAAGATAGTTGTGTGTGGCCCAATTCTTTACCCCCAAATAATGAAATGAATAATGTGTTAAGATTATTGCTCATAGACAGATCATCGTCACTCAAGTGATCTGCCAAATAGAGAAATGCAGAAAGGTTGTACTAAGGATGTATTATTTCATGAAGAGGATGGGGGCAAAGGAACAGAGACCCTCAAAGAGGATGAAAATGAAAGTTCAACTGCATTTGAATGAAAAACAAACTCTTAGAGAAGTGAGTGTTTAGTATAAAAGACTTATACTAAACTATACATAAATATATGGGTTCTCAGGGGAGAAAGCCAAAACTGAAAGTTAAGTAACATCCTACTGGGAACATAATAACCCAGGCAAAAAAGCAGATTCTAAAGCAAGGTTAAAAAGGAGTGTTAGAAATTCAGAGTGCTAAAGTAGTTCAAAGGAAGAAAAAAGAAACTCATCAGAATCGAGAGATCAGGAAGAGTACTAGGGGGAAAAAAAAGTGGAGAGATGCACAGTGAATAGTCTTTAGAAGATTAGCAGGAAGTTTAAAAGTAGAGACATGAGAAAGGCCATTCCAGGTGGAAGAACAGCATGGGCAAACTCTAAGAAGCAAAGAGTTGGGCAAAGGATCAACCTCTGTCACCTTCAGGAGGAACTGTCAATGTTTAACAGGGACAGTCAAGGTAATTTGACATATGCCAGGGTCAAAAATCTTAAAGCAAGAAAAATGTCTCAAAGTCAATATTGAAGTTTTATAAATCCTTTAATCATGACCATGCATAGGAAGATTAATAAATTTGTGCACACCTATAGTGCTTAATCCTAACTGAATTTTTACCACTTTGGCATGGGGTAGAAGAAAGTAGAAGGGTTTATAAAAACAGATTTGCAGGGACCAGAGAGATAGCAGAGTGATTAGGGTATTTGCTTTGTATGGGGCCAATGCAGGTTTGATCCCTGAGTGCAGAGCCAGGAATAAGCCCTGAGCACAGAGTATGGCCCAATAAGGGGGGGGGGGGGGGGGGGAGGGAGGGAGGGAGAGGGGGAGAGAGGAAGGCAGAGGGGGAGGGAGGCAGGGAGGGAGGTTGGGAAGTAGAGAGAGGGGGAGGGAGGGGAAGAGGGAAGGACAGAAAAATATTCCTGGGCTTCAACACCAAAGATTCTACTTCAACTTAAGATATTCTACTGCACTTACTTCCTCAAGAATCACTGGAGTACAGAATAATTGCAAGTAAGCAGGAGAGTTTAGTAAGAGTAACTTAATGGGAGTTTGTACTCCAGGCAGAAACTACTGAGAATTTGATCAACTGGACAAGTAATAAAGGGAATAAATGTAAGAAAATAAATAGAGGTTTGCATAGACAATCAGAGAATTGAAGTTGTCAGAGTTCTCTTAGTTTGGATTTGACTGGGGTCAAATTCCTCTAGTCCAGGAGAATTCAATAATTTTAAAGATATGTGTTTATACTCAGTAAGATGGCCAGGCAATTTGAATAGCAAGTGGACACAACAAATTATGAGATGAAGCTCAGACTTTCAAAGGATAAGTTTAGTGTTTAATTTGAATTTGCAAGTCACAAAAAAGTTGTAGCTGAAAGCATACTGATGGCTAAAAGTCATTCAAATGAATGGGCTTACAGAAAGAATGTATTTCACAGTCAGCACTCAGAAGGGTCTGTCCAATGAGAAAGGACTCAGAAAACAAAAGAACTGGGTGATGTGAACTCATGAAAACAGATAGGAGAGAGATTCAAACAGAAGCTGCTGGTCATCTGTGTTAACACATCCAGAGGAAGGAAAAAAAATTCTGCATATGCAGAAATGTCTCCAGTAGCATGAAGCTTCCACAGCAATTATGAAGCTCTGCCACAAAACACATTTCAACACATACAAATACATGCAGACCCACCAAGCCGAGTCCTGAGACTATGATCTCTGGGGGGGCAAAAAAATGGATCTTCAACACTAAGTCTTTTTAGAAAGCAAAACCATATTCAGATAGTAGTAAAATATTAATTAGAAGCATGTTAAGCCAAGATGTTTTAGATTTATGTAACATTTATTCAACATTATCATAGAGAATATAATCTTCCTGACATGTGCTAGTTTCAATTAGAATCTTTTCTTTTTAAACAACCCCAGAAAGTTTTCCACTGCCAAAGTCAACTCGAGACCTTTCTGAGATTATCACCAGATGAGGATTTTAATGCGGACTTGTTAGTAAACATGAACTAAATTGTGAGCAGAGTTCTATATATCTGCTTCTACTGTTATGAAGCTATCTGCCGCCAGGTGTCATGCTAGTAGGCTTGATTCAATTAGTAACTTTAATTGAAGCTGAATGAAATTAATTATATAATTTTGAGCTGTTCAAGTTTAATTCCATTAAAATTAATTCATGAAACGAGGGCATTATGAAGCATTGCTGACTAAAAGAAAATAGGTATGAATAAAGCCTCTAGACACACTTGACTCACATTTGAATCATGTCCAATATTTCAAGTGCTACACACAGACCCTCTCAACTCTTCACTGAATAAATGAATATGTCATGTGGTCCATATACACACTGATTTAGTAGTACCCTACTGGTAAAAATACTAATAAAACTAAATAGTGCCAGCTCTTCTACCTATTCTAAATATGTTTACCATGTGTACTTTTAAGGTTTCCTTATCAGTGAATTTCTGAAACTGGAAGACACCCAGAGTTTAAAAAATAAAAAATATTTTTTTTAATTTTTAAAAATAAAAGCTCAACTATCATTCTCTTCTTCATTATAGTAAAACAATAAATGACATGCAACTGCTATTAAATCATAATAAACAATCTCGCTATCTTTGCCTCTTTGAAATCAAATGTCATGTCTCAAAAGTTGGTATCAAGTTCTTACTAAGATACAGTCCAAAGCAAGGCTTTGGTTCTGAGTGTGAAATTTAAAATGACCTGAAAATTCTCTGCTTCTGTAAGCTAAGTTTCCATTACTACCTGACTGTTTCAACTTTCTACACAGGTATATAGTTCTATTAACATTTCTTTAATATTTAAAGAGGCTGGAGCGATAGCACAGCGGTAGGGTGTTTGCCTTACAAGCGGCCAACATGGCCGACCCGAGTTCGATTCCTCCGCCCCTCTCGGAGAGCCCGGCAAGCTACCGAGAGTATCTCGCCCGCACGTATCTCGCCCGCACGTATCTCGCCCGCACGGCAGAGCCTGGCAAGCTCCCCGTGACGTACTCGATATGCCAAACACAGTAACAACAAGTATCATGATGGAGACGTTACTGGGCCTGCTCGAGCAAATCGATGAACAACGGGAGGACCGTAACCGTGACCGTAATATTTAATAGGGTACCTCTTTGGTAGAAGCATAAATGTTGCTCAGCATCCTAATACTGAAGAAATGCACTGTAAAAATTTTTCAATAGATAGTCATTAGATGGGCACCATGATTTCAGTCACAGAACACAATTCCAGTTTAATCAAGTACTATCTGAGTTCACAGAGTTTTGTAGTTGTAATTCACACCTCCTAAGGGTCTGAATGACCTGTGTCATTGGCAATCAAGTAATTTCAGTGGAGCACAATATCAGTCTGTACCTTTCTATAACATTTATACCTACCAACAAGCCCAGAGACCCCATTTAGCAATTCTATCATCTTAATAGTGCTCGTTTTCAGCCAACAATTCTTTATTACATCACTCTTTAAACATAAAGACAATTTCAAACAGTCCTAATTCAACTGGGAAGATAGGCCTGAAAGTGGGGAAAAGATGTCATCATCGAAAATGACCAGATTTGAGAAGCATCTGATGTACTACATGATTCAGAGAGAGAAAAAGGGGTCAATCAAATACTGAGGTAGAAGTTTTGCTTCTATCTGCTTATCACAGTAATCAGAAACTATAATTTGACCTAACCACTTACTAGCATAGAGATATTTGGTCTGTGTCAAAACAGAGAGAACATAAAACCTGACTAATATATAATCGTGATCTGTCCTGTTAACAAATGAATCCACAAGAAGCATGTTTTAGGGACAGAGAGAAAGTGTAGAGGGTAAAGTGTCTGTCTTGCATGCAGCTAACCAGGGTTCAAATCCTGGCACCAAATATGTCCCCCAACTACTACCAGGAGATCACTGAACACAGCCAGGAGTAAGTCCTGAGCACAGCAAAGTGTGGCTCCAATACTAAAATAAAAATGGAAGACTTTTAAAATAGCACTAAATTAAAGACACTGCTAAAATTAAAGGTCAAATTAAAGGCTTCCAATCAGCTAACTTCCAGAGTATTCCTACTTCGAACACAATAATGCAGAATCTTGAGACAAGGTTAAAAAACACAAACCCAACTGAGTCGCTGACAACAAATCCTTTAACAAGGGATATCCAACATACACATGAAACAATCAAGCAATGGCTTACATAGGAATGAAAACTGCCCTGGGTCATAATGCTGGGTTCTGACACTAACCCACTCAGTCCCTAGAGAAATGAGAACTCTGCATGGGGTGGCTTGCAGAGACCACTTTGTAACCCTGATTATGCACAAGAGCTAGACAATAGAAACCAAAGTTGATATACACACTGAAGGGTATGAGAATAGGGCAGAGGAAATAAGAGAAAAGCCATTGTGAGACAATTGGCTTTGAGTTAATTCTCAAA